ATAACATTTTTTATATTCTATCCTTCGATACAACGTGATCTTCAATTGAGCGCTTACATCCAACACGTTCGCGTATATATGTTTCTGCTCTCGTACGATCGTGACTTGAATGTTGACGTTAAAATTGCCCCCGAAGAATCTTCTTTAAAACCATATAATTTATAATATTTATAATATTTTCAACATTCTTTAATTGCCCAAAATTTGGCCGTTTTTAAATTATTTTATAGCTGTTTGCTTAGTTGAGCGAGATTATTATTTTTTATTTGTTCATATAATTTATATTATATAAAATAAATAATAAGTGAAATGACCACGTTACAACAGATATCTCAAAACTTTCGTTTATATATAGAATATACAAACGATTTGTCATTGATCAACATAGGAAAGAAGCGATGCATGCGTTGTACCTTATGTTACGAAGTTATGTAGCACAGTTGCGCTACTAGCCCTTGTTATAAAAATATTCTAGTATTATTAATGATGTATCCGTATATATTTTTTTTATATTTGAACACCTCCATTTTTCGCAGAAAGATCTCGGCCTGTCAGTTCAATGTTACGGATGATTACTTCCGACCGGATCTGACTCCCACCGATCTTTTCAAGTTCAATACCTAACAAGAAACTATCGGGGGGAAGCTAGTGGACGAAAGACGAAAGCGCGGGCTAGCGTAATCCTCTTTTCTTATTGATTGGCACACAGCTCGTTGCCATAGTTACCAAAAGGTTGCTACAATCCTTTCATCAGGTGCCATTTATTGGACGAGCATTACTTGCCTGAGCTCATAAGCTCATAGTGATATTAGGAGAACGTTGCAAACAGCGTTCGTAACGGAGAGCGAATTACTCGAATAGCGCGGGCGAGTTTCAGCCCACAGTCCATCGAATCCGACACGAAGCTTTAAAGCAAGTTGCGCGTAAACAAATGCAGGACGTTTCGTCCGAGTATGGCGCGGCACGTCGAAAATGCATTTGTTTGCATACAACTTTGCATTCGCTCCAACATCGACGTATCGCATCGTGATAACGCCCGCGCCGCGCGCCGGTGGAATGCAGGCTCTATTTTCCCACGAATCCCAAACGCGAGCAACGAAATTTATTCACTTCGGGAAGCTGCCTCCTCTTGCCTCCTGGTTGTTGAACGTTGCGTCCTGTCGACGCGAAAACGTGCGTTTGATGCTGTAAAGTGTAAAAGTCCGGTTATTCCCTCGTGATAGCTATATAGGCCACAGGTTGCCCATCGGGGGTATAAGTTAAATGAAAAAGTTTTCATCTTCTTTGCGAGAGGATATCGAAAAATTTAATCCTTATAATCTCGTTTGTAATCTCGTTTGTAATCAAACACGTGTACAATTATAAGCAGAAACGTTTGCTTGCATGTCAAAAGCATATCCGTGAATAATAACAATTATTTTATTAAATAAATGATCGATATTTATCTGACAATGAGAAGGATTTAAGTAAGTGACGATCGAGACTAATAATAGAACAACTATACATTTTGCATATCGTATCACACAAATATGCATCTTCTGTCCCACATACGCACGCAAAATTTAATTCTTTATAATAAAGAATAATTTCTATAATATAATTATTATGATAGCAAATTGATTTGATTTTATAGTGAGCTAACACACAGAAGCTATGAAAATTAAAGTGAGATCTCCTTTAATCATACTTTACACTTGCAGACATTGCTTCATCGATAGACGCATCAGGCGCATGTAATATTTTCCATCGAATATTAATGCAATAAGGTGGCTAGCGGGCCGCTATTGTCGATCGGGCTACATTGAGTCGATCGGGCGGTTGAAATGTTTGTGCAGTTAGCTGCAAGTTTGCGCGCAAACATATCCCGCGTCCGGACGTGGGCACACAGTAGCAACGTCATGTATCGGACGAAGTGGGGCGTCGAAATCAATCGAACAAGCGAATTAATTGTTCGGATGATGCATGCGTGCATTCACAGACGTTGTGTTCCGCAAACACAGCGTTATCACGCATATCAGAAGGTTCCGTTCTTATCCAGGTAATGAAAAGAGATAAACGTCAGTTAATTTTGAAGGTATTTTAAAGGTATTTTGTAGAATTATATTCTTGTAGCTATATTTACTCGTATCCTCCTCGAACATTTTTTTTCTTATCTTGACTTTTTCTATAACGAAACGGATATCTAATCGCTAAAATATCGGAAATTATACATTGAGATTTTTATATATTAATACGATAGGGAGATAATCAGTTAAATACTTTCAGCGAAAATAAATAATACTTTTTTATATTTTCTACATGTATGAACTGAAATATAAATTAATGAATTATTGAAATTAATATGTGAGCCATTATTATGCTTTTTAAAT